TCTAACTACAAGGACTTGATTTATAGAGTAGAAGATAAATCAACTGTCTGGCTTATTTACACCAACACTGTTCTTGAAGGCTTGCTCCTCTCCATTTCAGGAGGGGGACAGAGTCCTCAGAGGAAGCCACCTGCTGGGTATATAAAAAAGACTGGAAGATGGAATTTTTTTTAGCTTACTATAGATCTTGAAAGTTTGCTTCTCCTTTTTCACAACTGCACCCAGACAATACAGTGAGCCTTCAATCAGCTCACTTGAATTACGACCCAAACCTTTTGTTTACCCAGAGATCTTACCAGCAATCCCAGTTCATTCAAAATCCCAAGAGGAAAATGGAGAAGGGATTGTGGTGTGGCCATTCCCCCCTGGGGGGTGATTTATCGCTTTCTGTCTGTGTGTCTCTGGCAAACGCATACGCTCTATAGCAAAAATCTCTCTCAAAAACAAAAACAAATAACTGTACACCAGAGTGAACTCCATCTTTTGAGTCTACTTGGTTGCTTGTCCCGCTCTCCTAAGTGACATTGGGCACACATCTCTTAACTTCTAAGCACTTCCATCATCCCTTCTGCCCTCTTAGCTCCTGACTGGGAAAAGTGGGCGCTATCAGAAGAGTACAATCTCATTTCCCCCACTACTAAATTTAGCAACCAAACTGCATTCACCTGCATTTACTCCAAAATCTAAGCTCCCAGAGGGAAAAGATTTTATTTTTGGTCACTGCTTTATTGCCAGTATCCAAAACAGTGCCTTATAAATAGCATAGGAAGTATTGGAATAAGTATTGAACACTGCCTTCCCTGTTGACATGAACTGTCCCTGTGCCTAGATCCCACTCCTTCATGTCTGCGTATTCAGGCTTCATTCCTGCAATAATCACCCTCCCCTAGGTTTCGACTCATTTGTTGCTTTTTATATCAAAGCCTGAGTTGTCTATAGCTGTCCCTACTTTTATTTCCTTCTGGTCACAATCCTTTCTAACCAGACTTCCATCCCCTAAACGTGCAGATTGTTAAACTCAACAATACCCCTAATCTAATGGTCAATTTTTGGGCTCATCTTACTTGAACAGAAAGGAACAAGGAACTTCTTTTTTTTTTTTGGAGAGATTTTCACTGTAGGGCGCATGCGCTCACCAGACAGACAGAGAGACATAGAGACAGAAAGCGAGAAATCACCCCCCAGGGGGGATGGTCACGCCGCAATCCCTTCTCCTCCATTCTCCTCTCGGGATCTTGGGCACGCACGCACACGCGCCCGGCGTGAGTTTTAAGCCACCGGGTCCGGGACACGAACCGCGGTCGACTATGTGGGAGTCCAGCGACATAGCCATTACGCTAACTGCTGGTTCCCCAGAAAGGAACTTCTTGAAACTTTCTCCTCATTTTTATCTGAGAGCTCTCAGATGGCATCTTTGCTAGTTCTCCCCCCTTTTAAAAGCTGGATACCGGGACCAGCAGGTAAGACTCCCACGTAGTAGTTTGAGTCCCGAACCTGACAGCTTAAAAACTCATGCTGGGTGCATGTGTGTGCATGCCCAAAATCCTGAGAAGGGATTACAGTGTGGCTATTCCCCCTGGGGGCTTACTCCTTGCTTTCTGTCTCTGTCTCTGGCGAGTACACGCAACCTATAGCAAGAATGTCTCTCTCAAAAAAAACTGGATATCAGAGTGAACTGCCTTTGAATCTACTTGGTTGTTACCCAAAAAAGTGAGTCCTTGAACCAGCAAGATCCTCATCACTGAGAAACTTGATAGAAATACAGACTCTCAGGCCCTGCAACAGACCTAATGAACCCAGCCCGGCATTTTAACAAAATGGAGTGACTCATGTGCATGTGAAATTCCAGAAGCACTGATCTAATTGTCTGAGAAGTTTCAGTCATGACTTCAAACTCCATTCATGAAATGACCCTCCAGATGTTTTCTCCTGTCTCCTTTCCCAACCTGCCATATGCAGGATTCCAGGCTCAATTCTACAAGAGACCTCAGGCATCTCAAACCTAAATGCAAAACCAAAATTTGATTTTCCTCTCAGGCCAAAACCTTAATAGTCACCCTTGTTATCTCCTTAGCGTCCGATCCTTGGGCCCAAGTCCTATTGGCTTTACCTTTAAAACAGAGACAGAGTCCAACCGTAGATGCCACTTCTGCTGCTGCCACCATAGTCTAGGCCATGAACATTTTTGGTGCAGACTTCTAAGTCTCCCAAATCTCCCTATCGTCACCTAGGTTCCCTACAATAAATTCGGCACTCAGTATCCAGAGTGATCGTTTAAAAAAAATACAAATCAGGGCCAGTCTAGTGGCCTACTGGTTAAGGGAGCCAGATCCACAACTTTCTTGTACATGGTTGTGGTTCAAATCCCAGCCCTGGTGGCTTAAAAAACACACTAAGCACATGTGGACAGGATGGAGAAATGGAGAAGAGCTGAGGTGTGACCATGCCCCAGTAGGGGGGAGGTGGAGGGTCCTTTCTTCCTCTCCCTGGCAAATGCACATCCCTCTGACAGACATAAAAATTTAAAAATAAAAAACTTTAAGTTAGACCACAGATCAAAACCCTTAAAGCCCCCAACTTTCCTATCGTAGCTTCCAAAAACCTACCTTTCTGAATCTCTGTAACATATACTCTAATACCATTTCAACCTGACAAGCATGTTCTACTTTTCCCTCCACCAAATCTTTACCTGCCTCACTTCCTTACTTCTGTTCTCAGCTCTAAGGTTACTTCAGAGAGCTTTAATTACCATAATTAAAAGATTAACCATCCTTTCCGTCACCTTCTTTCCCTTTATTCTGCTTTATTTTCCTTTTCTCATTCCAAGTTTCCTGCCATATACATCTGACTCATCCACTAGAATGTGAGCAGACAGTTTTTCTTTTTACATCACAACTGCTTAGAACAGCGCCTGGCAAGCAAGAAGCAGTCAAGTCCTGAGCATTCAAGTACTGGCCATGGAACTACTGAAGGCAAGGAATGAACTCCCATAGTCAGCCCACGGTACCTGCTGCGTTTCACAACCTTGAATTCAACCAACCACAGATTAAAAATATTCAGGAAAAAAGTTTCCAGAGATGCAAAAAGCAATTGGATTTGCTGCACACTGAGTACCACACGAATCGCAGAGATGCAGTGATGTGTAGGCACAGTTATCAGGACTGTAAGACAACTTACACAGGAAGATGTGTATAGGTTATACACAAAGACTATGTTGTTTTATATAAGGGCTTTGAATATTCTCAGATTTTGGAATCCAAGAGGGTAAGGGGTGCTGAAACCAATTCCCTGACAAGGGATAACTGTATATGCTTCAATGTTGCACAAACCTAGATGTAGAGAATCTACCATGTTTTCAACAAATTGACATTTACAAAATGTGGTAGCAGTTTCACAAATTTTCTATACATCAGAATGAAGATCTTTGAAAAAATTCTAATGCTTAAGTCACATTCCATATGAATTAGATCACAATTGCTGGCGATAGCACGTAAGAATCTGTATTTCTTTTTTTTTTTTTTTTTCTTTTTTTTTTCAAACTATCAAAGTAATCCCAATGTGAGATGGCTGGAAATCTCTGGCATATAGAATGACTTGGTAACCACGATACAAGATAGTGTGAAGTGGGGTCTTCAAAAAGTTCATGGAAAATATTATAAATATTATTAAAAACTATGAGCCAGGCAGTGGTGTGGTGAAAGCACAGCTGGATCCACATGGAAGAGGTCTTAGGTTCACACACAGAACCCCTCTGAGCATGCCAGGCTCTTAGGCATTTGCTCATGATCCTTGCTGGCTGAGATTGAGGGGATCACAGCATGATCCTGGTGGGGTTCCTGTTTCTCTCTCATGAAATAAATAAAATAATAAACTAAACTAAACTAAAAGGCCTAGCCTGGTGGTGCAGTCAGTAGCAAATAGAACTGCAATGCTAGAAGCTTTGGCCAGCCACAAGTCCCCAGGTCAGCTTAACATGCCAGCCTTGTGAGTATATTCCCAAGATTCTGACTAGCTGGAAGGCTGGAACAAAGGAACTGAAGCATGAGGAGACCCTGTCAAGGGTACGTGTGTGTTTGTCATAGGGCAGGCACCACCACGCCCCAAGGGTACGTGTGTGTTTGTGTGTGTGTCTCAAGGGCTGTGCACTATCATAAATAAAATTTAAAAATGCAAGAAATGATGTATGGATTTAAAAAAATTTTTGCATTAAAATGTTTGTTTGAATTGCCAGAGGGCACATGCACTCATCAGAAAGTCATGAAGAGAGGGCAAGTGGGAGAAAGCACCCCCCAAGGGGCGTGGTCATCCCACAATCCATTCTCCTCCATTTTCCGCCCCCTCAGGATTCTGTCCATGCATGTACATGTGCCTGGCATGATTTTTTAAGTCTCCAGGGCTGGAAGTCTAGTGGCAGTCACATGGGATCCAATTCCCTTAACCACACTATTTCCCCAACTTCCTGAGATCCCCTCATATGGAATACAAAAATATCTAACACAAAATCTCAATCATAACATATACTATTTTAAGACTTTTTCCTAGCGACATAGAAAACAAAAAGAGGGGGACCAGCAGTTAGCGTAATGGCTATGTTGCTGGACTCCCACATAGTCGACTGCGGTTCAAGTCCTGGACCCAGTGGCTTAAACTCACGCTGGGGGCATGTGTGTGCATGTCCAAGATCCTGAAAAGAGAAAGGAGGAGAAGGGATTGCAGTGTGGCCATCCCCCCTGGGGGGTGATTTCTTGCTTTCTGTCTCTGTCTCTCTTGTCTCTCTCTGCCTGTCTGGCAAGCGCATGCGCCCTATAGCAAAAACCTCTCCCAAAAAAAAGAAAACAAAAAGAAATTTATACCAATTATTTCAAAAACTAGGTCTTAAAGATAACATAATTCTCCAAGCTTGTTTTCTAGCCAAATTTGGGCAGGTTATATCAGAAAGTTTATTTTTTTCCTCCTAGATGAGGCAAACTGATGTATGGAAAAATGGTGACTTCTATATATTTCACATCTGAAGGCTTTTGAGGACTTGCACATATTGGTACTTTTAATGGGGTTAGGTATAAATAGCTCTATTCTGATTACATGGCTGTAACTGCTAAATAAAATTCTATTTGTCAAGAGAAAAGAGGACATTTTAATAACTAAGTTAAAATAAATTATTTATCATGCTAACATTTCTCATTCATGAAGTGAGTCAATCAAAATATCCTCAGGGAAGAAACTATTCAAATATATATTTACCCATCTCTAAGCTCACTTTGAAACTGTCTTCATATCTCAGAATGAAGTATAAAATTAAAGAGAAAAACAAGTACTTTTGTTATAAAAATCCTCACCACAGTGCAAATACTATAGATTTCATAAGAACTTAGAAGAATATTTCAAACAATTCATTTTACAGATGAATGACTTGACACCAAGATGAAGTGAAATGTTATGTCTAAGAGTCACACAGGAGAATTAGAAAAGAAAAAAAAAAAAAGTTTTCCTCCAAACAAATAGATAGCATTTTTCACATGTTAATCAAAAAGAATCAAGATCATCAGATTAGGAAGAAATAAGGAATATAAAGTATGTTACACATGGATTTAAAGGACTAGTCAATCTGTGCTCCAAAACCAAAAATTTCTCCAAACACATGGACATACATCCATCAAGGGTCTCACCCTTAAAATATTCTAATCTTGGAAAATTCTATTTACAAATACATTATTAATTGCATTGATATAATGAAATTAGTTCATTAAATGTGAAAACATTAAACAGCACCAATACCAGAAAGTTAAGAAGGTAAATACACTATTATTTAAAATAATGTATAATCACTGATTGGAACAGAAATAAACTATATTCATTAGCAAAATTATTTAAAACAACTGTTTGACATAAAGGCAAAACTTAAAGACTGGTATGTTCCCTTTTCCCACAACAGACCTGTGGCTGAGCATCCCAGCAGTAGATCACATGGAAAATATTACTTATCAAAATGCATTTTTTAATTGCTCAACCTTGAGGTTTGATACTACGTAACCCAAATTTTGCCAAAATAAGCCAATGGTGGCATCCTTAATACCTTAACTACTCTTAACTGTTTCAAGTAAAACAAAGCAAAACACAAAACAGCTCCTTTATTAAGCACTGGATTAAATGTATCTATGAAGAAGCAGCAAGGCATTTACAAATGAGCTACTGACAGTGTATCAAAATGCTACTAAGGAAAATACAGCAGCAAATACTCTAATAAAGAGCACATTATTCCACATGGAATCCCAAATTCTTCTTGTCTCTAGTTTCTTAAATTCCTGGAGAACTAGAGATGAGTAAGTGTATTGTATAAATGGGGCTAGAGAAAAAGAAACTCTGAATAGTATAGTGTTCAGATTTTAAATTAATCAAGATAATTTGATGCTTACAGAGAAATTCCAACTATATCTAATTTTTTAAGCACACAGAACTGCTAGCCAGCTTATGTGTTTACTCAAAATATAGCATTGCAGTTTTAAGTGAAAATGAAATAGGCATGTTTTGCAACGTTTTCATAATGTTGACACCACCCTTTCCCCATTCCCTGCTCCTTTCATCAGGTGATCTGAAGACTACCTGGTTTAAAATATTTGGTAATTCAGTGCAGAAAATTAAGGTCACAGACAAAGTACAACAACTTTTAATACACCATTAATACTAATGATTAAAAATTATTGCATAGTCTTATGCATTTACCCTAAAACATTTTCTGAAAGTAAACGAATAATATAAAAGACAAATAACCCTTTAAAACGTGGATGGCCTTTACTACCTCGATCTTCTATCCTTTTTTGTCTTTTCAGTACTTTTGTCCATTGTTTTCTCATTATCTCCCCTGCACTTTGGGCAATACCACTTCCCCTTTGGTTTATAGGTAAGTGAAACACATGAAAAGTGAAACCATTCAATTGGACACTGTTCATTGTCACATCCTATCATTTCCCCATAAGACACTTGGTTACATAAGCAGTATGTAGGTTCATTGGGATCTATTGCAAACTCAACAGGTGAAGCTTCCCTTTCTTGTTTGGCCTTAGAGCGTTTCTTTTTCTTGGCTGACTTGGATTTCTTTTCTTTAGGTGGCTGATCATCACAGTCTTCAATCCCATTTGTCATGTGACATAAATCACGGCTTTCACTGGTTCGCTGTCTACGGGGTCTTCTTGAAGATCTTTCCGGTTGGCTGGAATCCAACTTTGCTTTGTCTGAAGCTCGTTCACTTTCAGCAGGATCTTGGAAACATTGTGAATGTAATTCCATTTGTCTTGCCCGATTTTCCACCAATTCGAGCATTTGTGTGACGATCTGAATTTTTTCATCTCCCAATTCTTGACTATTGATTAATGCTCTCTGGAGATGCTGCTGTAGGCGTTTTTTCTGGTTTGAATCATCTTCTTTCTTATATTTTTCATAGACATCATCAATTTCCTTTAATGTTTCTAAAAAAGAAACAGTGGAGACATTATCGTGTGTTAGCACATACATCATTTTCAAGTTAGTTATTTTTCACAAAATTGGTGGTTGGGACTCAAACCAGGAAACCACACTCTACAGTATGTATGTATATATTAGAAACATTATCTCCCATATACCAACCATATTACTCAATAGGAAAGTATATTTAGAAATTCACCAATAAAAAGAAAGAACACAAAATTCTAATACTCATTTATCTATATTTAAAAGGAATAAGAGATCTGTAAACAATTATTATCAAAAGTATTTCACATGGGCAGGAACACTGTATGCCACTTGAAAGTCTACTTAGTGCCATATTACCTACACTTCATTTGACCCTCAAACAACCCTCTGTGTAAAATTTACATGCTGGGTTTTAGTTGTAAAACTTAAAGGGGTTCTGAGACTAGGTTACAGACTACTGCTCAACTGTGTTTATAGAATTTACAATTCAGTGACTTCTAATGACCCCTGAGAGACACTATACCTTCACTTTCACATCATACACCTGGACAATCTTAAACGAAGCAAACATAAGCAACTCCTAACTTCCCACTATCTTAGTTTTAATAGCTCTTTTATTTTAGCACCACATGGAAAAATCTGGAAAATCAAACTATTTCCAGAATAGGTTTTTGTTCTGACATGAATTGACAAAGCCACTAATAAAATTATAGTAAAGTCAGCATTGGATCACTCTGCCTTTGTAGATAACTCAGCAGTTGATCTAAGCTTTTTAAACTGCTGATTTAGTTTTATTGCACGTGGGACACTTTTATAAATCAAATAAAAATGCCTGACTTACTAGAAAGCATGCGAAAACCAAAAATACAGCTTCAGATGTCAGCAAAAACTTAAGATCTGCTTTATTGAAAACTGTTCTATTTCTTATACTTACAAGGCCTAATGCTATCTGAAAGAGATCTGTCTTATTAAAGGTAGAGAAATGAAAATTAACCTATCTCACCATATGACATAACATTGTTATGTATTGCAATATTAACCAGAAAAGAAATGTTAGACAAGTAAAAGATATACACTGGGCAAATATTTAACACGACTCTTCTGAATTAGCTCCTCCCTGGAAACTACATGTACTCACACTTGGTGGACAACTGTTCAACCTGGGATCATGACAAAGTATTACCATACAGCTGAGGGTACTCACACCTGTGTATTTTGAACAAAGTTCTTATCTATAACCCATCTGCTCAAAGAAGCATCTAAGTGGATTTCTTAGGAAACTAATTTTCTTACAGGGAAAATAAGGAAATTAGATTATTTTCCACTCTGTCACAAGAAAAAAAAAAAAATGAGGATAAAAAGAGGTAAACCTCATCTCAAATATCCTGTATCTAATAATGAGTTAGAAACTAATATTACATAATGTATCACACTAGCACACTGATACATGAGATTTTTAAAATTCACATTTTAAAGACATTTTAATTATGTGCTTAAAAAAAGAAATGAACATTTATTCAGCTCCTTCTATCGAGTAAAAATATTCTCAAACCCATCATTTCTACATGTGAAGAAAATTAAACTCAAGGACTAAGAACCCCAGACTAGGGAAGCTGTCAGAGCTGTGTGGTTGCCACCCCAGTTTAAGCACTTTTTATTTGTTGTATGAAAGACATTTAAAATTAAGTATTAAATTTTAATTCAACAGCTAAATTATTTGATAATAATTTCTTACCTTTGATAGTAATTTTTTTTACCTAAGAAATCATAAGCAAGAATACTGGAACAAAAATTAAGGTAAGCATAATTCCATAATGAATTATTCAACTGTGAAATTGTTGACTTAGTTCTACTAGAGGAAAATCAAAGCCCAAAAAGGCAAATAAACCTTCCTATCTTCGCTCTGTAATAAAGGTGCTTATTGTTCAAAAAAAAAAGAAACTGTTGACTTATTTATCTGTCTCATAGGTTCTTTAATAGTTTCTGAAAGTGCCTCAAACAGGAGAGAATTTCTTTGACTGCCTATGTAGCAATATTTATACTACTAAATACTGCTATTAGATTAAGTATTAGATCCAAAGCCCCCAAATACTCAAGAATGAATGAAGTAAAAACAAGTAAAATCTGAACCAAGAACATAAGATACAAAGCTAATAAATCTAAAATTGTGAAAGTGAAGAGCTTAGTAATCATGTGCATAGAGCAAAAACTAAATCACTGTTTTTATACTAATCTTCAATCACAATTTTAAAAGTACTTACGATATTTACAATATCTCTATCTTATAAGGCCTACTATATTATTTACACGTTCAGAGCTACTTATGACAATCAGATGGTAGATTTCCCAGTCAACAAATGATAGTGTCCCTCCCCAAACAGCTTAACTTTTGTGAAAGCAAACATGTGCCTTTAAGAAGATATAAAAATCTGCGCACTTTGCAAACTTCAGTGTTATGTGAAAAACTAAAATGTTCAACATACAATTTTTAAGCACCTATGTGTCATTTTAAAGTTACCATTTATGTACACACTCCATATCTAGAAAACATACTGGACTTCTTTTTTTTAAGTTTAAATAGTTTGAAAATGAGGATATACATCTAAAGCAACAGGCTCTAGAATCAACTATTCTACTTTACTGGACAAATAACTATAGTCTGTAAACTTTAATTTTTCTGGAAAACGAGTTTTTACTTCCTAAGTTCTGGACCGGTGCAGCAACTGACGAATAGTAAGTGATCAGTATTCTCTTTTCCCAGCAGGGATCAGTCCTATCAATCACGGGGATTCAGAAAACTGAAATAAAATGTATAGACTCAACACAGAAATACTTAAATGTTCTAACATACTACTGGGCTAAAAATGTCACCTCAGATGTGGTGGACTCCTTAGAGACTTAATCACAGGATTAGTGACGTGTCTCGAAAAACAGACTGTCCATGAAGTATCTAAAGTCTGTATGGTTACTTCCACGTTGTGTCCAAGTTCCGTTCCTTGACCGAGGATTTTTAAACGCAAAACGTCTCCCTATTTACACGTCTCCCCTCCCATTAGCAGGCGAAAGATCCATTAACGACGGATGATAAACGACCCTCTCCATAAGATACGATGATTCTCTGAGCTAGTTTTTTGGATCTGACCACAAAAGATGGTTTGCACCACCTCGCTTCAACTTGGTGACCCACGGACCCGGCAGGGAAGGGACGCCAGGTGGTTGCCCAGTCAACCAACCACTTCCTCCTGAGGCCCGGAAGTGACACATGGCCCGGGACCGACGCGGTGCCAGGGTCAGCGACAGTGCTCGCAGCTGTGTCCCCATCCTGATTAGTTGGCTGAAGCAGAGGGAGTGGAAACAGCACACGTGAAACAGGCTGCAAACGCCGATGACCCTGCCAGGACCCAGCGGCGCGCACTGTGCAGCTTCGCCTCAGCCCCTTCAGCGACGGTGACACTGCAATCCCTTCTTTGTTTCTCATTCTGTTGGAATTTGGGACACACACACACACACACACACACACACACACACACACACCTCTCCCTCTCTCGGTCTCCCTTCTTGTAGTCCGGGCGGGGGTGTCCCCCGGCAGCAAACACACACTCACCCCTTTCTCTCCGGGCCCGCGGGGACCCCTCCTCTCTTAACCACTGGGCCGAAGGAGCAGGGAAAAGGCTACGGCACTCGGCGGCCCGGAACTTTCTCCCGGGCGGGAGAGGAGCGGGCGGCCGGGCTCCCGAGCCCGAGCCCG